AACACCATCCTAAACTTGAGTCATCATCATTCCTTGTCAGGGTGTGTTGGCAAAGGTTTGACAACCAGCTCTCTGGAGGAAAATAACAAAGCCCCGATTTGCTGTGTCTACTGTTAACCGTGGTGTACATATTCCCAGTATGGTTGATTTTAAGGTATCCAGGTGATGTCTTTGAAATAGGAGTTCAGAAAGTTGTTTACAATCAACTCTCATGAGCAGGTAAAAGCCAGTTACAGCAACAAATGTTTCTTGATTTCCCTTTTATATTATTTTATCTAATAGATTTTCAGTCACAAAAATAATTTCTTTATTACTTGCTTTTAGCTTTATAGAAGTGCATCATGCTTTACCTAATCTTATCAGGATAGTTTATGAATTTGATATTATATTGTTAAGGTTCATCTGCAACTTTGCTCATCGCTGGAGTCCATTCACTTTGACTGATATATATATATATGGTTTCCATCACATGAATAATGAATATCCCACCATTTATTCCTTCACTTTCTTGTCAATGCCTCAGTAGATCGGCTCTATGTTTTGCTACCATGAATAGTGCTGCTTAGAACACTTTTCTATTTATGTCTTCTGATGACCACGAGTAAGAGCACCTCCTGAGGTAAACCCAGGAGTAGAATCACTGGGTCACGGAATACAGGAATGAAGAAGAATATGAGATAATCCCAGAATATGAGATAATTCCGTATCACTTGTGCTTGCACAAACAATCCTGTGGACCCATACACTCTCTAATAGTTTATATTTCCAGGCTTGTTGTATCGCTAATCAAATGGATATAAACTTACATATCATTGTGTCTTGCTTCACATTTTCCTGATTACTAGTGAAATTAAATATCTGCTCATATATTTACTCATAGATACTTCTTCTATTAAATGTATGTTGGTATTTTCTGCTTATTTCTTTTTGGTCATACAAGATTTGTGTTCAATGTAATTTTTTGGTTTTTCCTAGGACAGGATGTTTCTGATGGGCTTACATTCACTATTCTGGTTATTATGTTCTGGCTTGTGACAGAACTTTCTAGTTCTCTCGACAAGCAATGTTGTCTGAATTCTTTCTTATATGCTCCTTCTGCCTTTTCTTCGCTTTGACCCCTTCTTGAGACCCAGCTCAACCAACACCTTCTCCATGAAGGTTTGGTGTGCTCTGTACCTAGACATAGAGGGTGAGTGCCTTCCTTTGTTCTCAGTCTTACCTAGTTCATTCACCAGTCAGAACACTGTATCCAGCACATCATCACATTCTTTCAAGGGTGAATATCTCTGCTTGGCTGCCTTCCGATTTTCTTTATCTTGAAGGTCTCGGATGGAGACAACATAGAGCTGAACAGTCTTTGAGAGCCCAATGAAAGTTTATTACACAGAATACATGGAGTATTATAAGAGCATTTTGAGAATTATGTGTAGATTTACCTATGAACATGATTAAAATATGGGAGAGACAGGAAAAAAATCCAGCTTTTATAATTTTCAGCTGTGTGACTTTTCCACGTCACTTGGCCACATTGCAGGCCCAGCTCCATGCCATTTTACTAGTTCTCAAACACTAGACCTCCTACACACTCCACACCGAGATATTCTCTCTCTCTTTCTCTACACACACACACACACACACACACACACATTCACAGATGTCTCTATTACAGAAGCTGTGGTTTTCCTCTCTCCACACCTTCTTCCACAGAGCTCCACAGCTTTGATGGGGTGAGGAAGAGAGGGTTGTTGCAAAGGTTCTTGTTTGGGTATCTGACCTCTGCCCAGCGCTGTGTCACTAGCACCACACAAGTAGAGGCTGCTGTCTGCAGGATGTGCACTCGTCACCATGAAAGTTGAAACTTTTAGATTGGGATGGCTGATGGGAAATTTGGCATCAGAAAAACCTTGTTCGTATTTGGGACCAGAGCCCTGAATAGAGGTTGCAATCAGCGTGAGGCCCTGTTTCGGCAGCTGACGATACCAAAACACGGTGTCGGCCTGAAGGCCCACTGTACGGCACTCCATCTCCACGGAGCTTCCCTTCTTACAGATAGCCCTGCTTGGATGTTGAGAGACGAGGGCACCAAGCCCTGAGCCTGATGAAACAGAGGTCAAAGAGATGAAAGAGGCCAGCGGGACCAGTCAGACATGACCACAGCCAGAGAACTCACAGGCTTGTTCCCTCATTTTTCTCCCTACTCCCAGAGAATCCAGTTTGTTTTCTGAAGTCTTCCTATCAGACTCCCTAGAATCATAATCTCCCATCTCCCCTGACTGGTGACTTCTCACCTTACCCATTACCTTCCCAGAGGTCATGGATGTCCGCTCTTATTTTGATTGGCAGAAAAAATCCACAGTCTCTGGCTACCACTTCACTCATGCCAACACACAAGCACACTCGCCCAAGCTACTGATATAATAAGGCTCATACTGGGCCCCAGGAGCAGCAGAAGCATCAGCATCTTCAGGGGTTAGCCTCACACCACACCACTCTCAAGAGGAGTATGACTGTGCTCTTCATTCTTTCTTTTTTGTCTCTAGAATGTTGGATGACTGCTTACGTAATCCTGAGGATGCTCTCATCTTCCGCCCTGTGGTGATCTTTGCCAATGATATAGGCTCTATTACTCTTTCTGAGTATCAAAGAACCATACATACATTGCTGTAATGGGCCTCGAAAATGTTCTGATTCAGCTCCTAATTTTAGAGAAGATGCACTGAGACGTAGATCACTGAAATGGTTCAAAGTAGTTTCTTAGCCTTATATAAGGAAAGGGGTATATGTTTGTGTATTAATACACATTAATACTCATTTTATTACTTCTGTGTCATCCCCTCAAAGTAACCAAGTGCAGTGTAAGCCCTGAAGTTGTTTTTTCTATTTTTTCATGCTAGTACCTAACTTAAGCTTTGATTTTGAGGCATCCAATTCAAAGAGGCTTCAACTTCAATGACGGCTATATCAAATAAACAAATTACCAGACAAATAACTAGATAAGAGCCAGACCAACTCCAGCTGTGCCCACCTCCCCCAGGCTCCTTTGTTTTAGATCTTTGTTTTGATAACTGACCACATGGGCCAATAGTTTTTTCTCTTCCGGTCTTTTAAGTTCCTGCTTTTATATTTTAAATTTACCAATACAGAGGGAGCCCAAGAAACCCTAGATCTCACCCTCCACTCTAATAAAAGCAGAACCCAATTCCTGTGCATGCTCAGTCTCTACCTCAGACCTTCCTATGTAGCCTCAGGTATATCATGTAATTTCCAGGACTTGTAAGTAATATACCTTTTTTTTCCCCAAAGCTTTCTGATGGTTACTCCTGAGGGAATATTGCAATCATAAGAACCAGAGGGAACAGGCCAGGCACAACACTAATAATTGTTAGGCTGAGACCAGTGCACGACGCCAAGAAAACTCACTATTGTTAATCGCCAGAACTAAGGGTGATCAAAAGAAGTCCAAGGCTAGGAGTTCAATATTCATATTGATGATAAGGACACTTTCTCATCTTCTAAATGAGGTTTTCAGTTCCCAACTATCTCATGCCAGTTTCCCTCATATTGATGTACTTCATACTAAACATGGCTATTTATTATAGTCTATGTGTCTTTGTGTAAAGCACTGTGGAGGCTGTGAGGATAATTTATGTATAGCTATTTCACCCAGATACAGATTATAAGGCAAGTATTTACCAATGGAAATAGCTTCAAGCAGATAGGCATTACTTCTGCTTTGAACATGGTGGAATATTTGTTTTAAATGCCTCATGCCTGGAAATGTGTAGCAAGTTCAAAGGGGGTGATGATTTTTCTCCAAAGCATTATACTTTCATTTTTATAATGACCTCCCTGTTGTGACTCCGCTTAATATTTAGTTGTTTTTATCTGGAATGAGTAACCAGGAAAGGTAGGATTAGAACTTGACCCATCAAATTATGTTTGTACTATATAGTGGCATAGATGTTTATCATGTCAAGTATAATTTTTGCATAGTCAATATTCCTGTATACATAAGACTCGTATATGGATTAAAGGGTGTCTGGCATGCTCCTGTGGCTATACGTTTTTCATGGTTGGTACACGCCATTTTAGACTGGGATCACCTGTCACTGTAACTGTATTTTTCCTGCAAAGAATAGGTGAATGTGCCTTGCAATGTGTTATTTCTTGTATAATATTATGACATATATGGGATGAAGTAGCTGGAAGTCCCTGGATCAGAGGAAAATCTTTCTACTCCTTCTGAGGACCTCCAGCCATCAGGCATATACCTGTGGTTTATATTACTGTATCAACTTAACTAAGGAGGAAATGCCTTTCTATCTTTCTAATAGAGCTCTTGATGAGAGTTGATCTCAAGAAAACAATTTGCAAATGAAGCAGCTCTCATGCTCTGAGGTCATCATTGGTCCAAGACAGTGAAGAACAGGATCAGATGTACCAATTTATCACATTATGGTAGCTACTCTTCAAAGATGGCACCCAAATGAACCACACCTCCCAGTATTCACATTTGTGTCAGTCTCTTCTTGACTCTGGACTGGCCTGTATGTTCTGGAAACAACAGTGCATGATTTTCCAAGACAGGTCATAATAGCCTTGTCATTCCTGCTTGTGTTTTTGAATGCTCACTAAAGGGAAGCCAGCCACCATGTCATAATTTTAACTACCCTGAGGCCACCATGCCACAGGGTAGTCAACCCCTCTAAGCACATTGAGGGGCTGTGTGGAGAAAAAGAGACAGGCCAGACTGGTCCACAGCTGTTTCAGCCACCCCAGGTGAAGGATCAGATATGGCCATAAAGAAGCCATCTTGGATGTCCAGCCCAGGCAAGCCTTAAGCTACCTCCAGCCTAAATGACTATCTGAGTGTGAAGACATGAGAGACCCCAAGTGAGAACTGCCTGGCCAAACCCATTCAACCTGCAGAACCATGGGAGATAATATGCTTTTAATTTACGTCACTACATTTTGGACTGGTGGTTGTTATTGGTTTTCTCATGTTTTTAAGTGAGCTATAAAATACATATATTAGGCTGCACAAATCTTAAGTGTACTGCTTACTGAATTTTCACCAAGAAAAACACTATGTAACTACACCAAGATATAGAGCATTTACAGCTCCCCAGAAATCTCCTTCATGCTTGCTTCCAAGTAAATTAAAATTGCCCCCAAATGTAGCCATTATTTAAATTTCATATAATACGTACTCTTGTGTCTGGCTTCTTTAGTTCAATAATCTGTGAGATTCATCCATCCATGATTTTGCAAATAATATTTGATTCTTTGCTATATTTTATTCTTTTATATACATATAACATAATTTATTTATCCACTGCATTTTTGATGGACATTTAAGTATTTTCCAGTTTGAAGTCAGCAAGAACATGGTTCATGTTAAGGAGTTCATGAGTTCATGGCTCATGATTGACAGACTGTGGTTCTTAAATGCTTCTAAGAATATTTAAAACATATTTCATCCAGCATTTTTAGTTGGATGCAGTGTGAGAGTTGGTCTGAATAGTATAGACTCTCATACATTTACAGAAACTGAGTTAATGTAATTGAATAAGAGCTTGCAAACAAATGCAGTCCCAAGACTTAACACCACTTGCCTTCTAATTCCATGCTTAGATGGCAGATGAGAAAGGGTGAGAATATACAGAAAACATAAAGAACATTTGCAAAATAATACTGACCACCTGTCTGCCGCTTATTCATGCAAATATTTCCTCCGACCCTGACTCTCCGTTCTAAGTGCCAAGTGCATTTACAGAGGCCTACTGGGTGCTTCTACGCAGATGTCCAAGGAAGGCCCACCAGAACTGCAAACTCAATATTGTGCAGTAAGTTGCTCCAATCCTGTTTCCAAATTTCCTCTTATTGCTGTATTCTAGGGAGCTGATCACCTTTTTTCTTGATATCATCTCATCGTTCTCTCCTAATATAGTTCCCTAAGCCTGTATCACTCAGGTGGCGCTTGTGCATCTGGTGAAACCCTACTGAATATTTGCGTTTCATCTCACATTTTTCTTTCTCTTTGAAACTCTTCCTGAAGTCACTAGACAGATTTGGCTGTGTTATTCCTTATGCTCCTCTAACACCTCCGATTAAAAGCACACAGCTATGATATTAGATGACAGTATTTGCCTTTTACACATTTCTCTCACCACTCAACGTGTATTATTTTTGTGAAGAAAGAGACCATTTTCTCTTCATTTTTTTCACCAGAGTTTAGTGAAATAGAAAAAGGAAATGAGTTGTTAAAATAACATCTCTTCTCTCTTCTCCTCTCTCTTTCCTTCAGAGATCCACTAAGTTAGGTTTAAACGTGACATATGTGCATATATCTGTATCTAACGCTCTGAAGTCCCTGCCATTCCACAAAGAACATTGATGGCAGCAGCTGCTTTGGGGGCCTGGTTGAGTTGGAGGAAAGCTGGCAGATCAGGGTACTGAGTCCAGAAAAGCCCTGCCACCTGGTGGGGAAGCGGATCTTGGGACATGTTTATGCACAGAGAGGAAGCGGCCTTTCATCACTATGTCTCTACTATAGGCACAGAGATACAGGGCTGTCTGGTTCTTTTGAGTTGATTTCACAGTGAGAGGAAAAGATGCCTTCTTCTCCCGGGAGGCACTGTAGCCTTCAGATATGTCTCCTTTCTGAACACCTTTTACAAACAGCGAATAGTGGATCAGTCTCAGCCCCTGCCCTGGGTCCTGTCGGTACCAGTACATGGCATCGTAATCCAAATTCTGTTCACATTCCAGGCTCACATCTCGTCTTTCCTCTCTGATCAGATATTTTGGGCTCTGAGTGATTCCACCGTCCATGGTGCCTATGGAAGAGAGAGAAAACCTCTGGAAACACAACCTAAGCAAGTTCCTAATGCTGCTGTCACAGAGACAGCCTTAAGTCTTGACTTTGGCACTCTCAGGATAGCAGTTTTCTCCCTGAATCTAGGACTCACCTGCTCCCAGGAGACAAAGGACCACCCAGCAGAGCACCTGGTTGCCCATAGTGGGCATGGGGTCTCCTTGTGGCTCCAAGGACTTACTGGAAGACAAATGAGGAAAGAAACTTAGTTCTGGTGATCCCACTGCCTTAACATGCAGAATTTGTCAGAAGGCAAGACTGGATAGTGGGAAGTGATCCTGGAGATTCTCAAGACAAGGTCCCTAATTCTGTGGAAGAGGAGACTGAGAAGGGAGACCTGAATCACTTGCTCCCTCCTTGTGCCTCCCTCCTGAAACTCTGCATTCAGTCTGGCCTGACTGGGCTGACACCTCCACATCTCCAGGTCAGAGTCTCCTCTGATTGGCCCGCTGGATTTTACCTTCCTACTTATCCTAATATCTGATGCCTAAGGGAGCACCGCAGACATTATGGTGACACAGAAGGTAGAATTCACTTGTAATCCCATCCACTCCCTGAGGAAAGAGTGATCCTGGGCACTGTGCAGAGGTGTCTTTGGAAGCGATCAACAGGCACCACTCAGACCTGCTGCCAGGAATGCCTTTGCTCTAGATCCTCCTTCGCATTCAGGCCCAGGCCTTGCCTTCATTCCAGCAACTTCTGTCTGGCTGGTTTTACTTACTCTCTCTCATTTTCATTCTCTTAAATGTTTCCCTGCCTTTCTTCAATTTATTCGTCATTTCTTGGATAATTTTGTCTTTTTCTTTGTTTTTTTTCCTGAGTCTCTCAACCTGTTTTTTTTTTTTTTTTCATTTTCCTCTTTTTGCTTTTCTGCTCTTATGTTTTGAACTTCTGTTTATAGGGGCGTTATCCTGTCTTCAGCTGCTTCCTTGAGTATATTGATTTCTTTTTGGTGTGTAGTTTTACATTTTCTTCTGACTCATGATTTTTGGGGAGGGGAGACGGTGAGAGATGAAAGATTTTCTTCTACTCTATAGATTGTGTGTTCCTCTTATTCATTTTTGTGATGTTAAGCTGTTTTACAGTAAACCCATATCAATGGTATCCTTTCCAGTCATTCTAGTGAAGTTCTGACCCTCAAGAAGTTTGTTTCTTAGTGATGTTGGGTGGGGGTTATGAGTTCTCTTATTTTGTGATTTGCATTTGTTTTCAGGACTCTCAATATGCCACCTCTTTTTCTTTTCTCTTTCACTATCCTATTGGCAGAAGACCCTTCTTCCTTTTTTTATGCCTTTTTTTTCTCCCTTAGAATCTGTACTTTCAGAAGGGGGATCCCTTTCCATTGTGTCCTGGCTCCTTAAGCAGAGTGAGTGCACCTTGAAACCTCCTTCCTCAGGTCCTGTCAGCTCTGACTCAGGGGGTGTCTTTTCTGGTGGTCTCTCAAAGCCTTCTCATGCTCAGTCACTGCCCCTCCTCTCTCCCTCTTACAGTCTTTCTCCTCCTCCAGGGCATGGAGCAGAGGGACGAGGGTAATGAAAAACTTTTGGAAAAGCCAAAGGCGGAAAACACAGCTGAGTGACATGGTTTACACTGGATCCTGGTGAGGGGGAACTTCCCTGGGCACTATGCATTTAAAGTGACTTTGGATTCATCTGCCTTACGATTTTATGAAATTGTTTCATCAAAGCAAATGAAAATAAACACCTTTCTGTAGGTGACTGGCATTTGTTGTGTGATGAGAACAAAAAAATATTCACTGAGATAACAAAAATTTGAGGAGATGTTTTCCTATTGAACAATATTTTGGGGCCAGACCTACCTCCTAAATTCCAGACAAATTTATCCAGTTCTACTTCCACCATCTCTGGGATATGCTATAGCAGGAGCTTACAATCCTGGCATCAACACATACCTGCATAGGCGTTAGGCAAGGGACAAAGCCTGGATTGTTCCAGAAAGAATAAGAGTGAGCACAGAGTCGTATAAAAAATAAAAAGCACCACCCTTTGAGCCAGACAAAACTGGGTTTGTATCCTGTCTCTCTCTCTCTCTCTCTTTTTCTTTTTCCTTTTTTTTTGAGTTTGAGAAAGGGAAATGAACTTCTGGCACCACGTTTTCTCAAGTTGAAAATGAAGACACCATTTCCTTTGCTTGATTCTCTAAATCTTAAATAAATTAAATGAAATTCTTTATTTAAACCATGGTATTGAGAACTTGAAATAGATATGAATTTTAAAAATCTTTATCCTTTACAGGTGACAGAATCTTAGTTCCTGAACATGGGCTGGCATGTGCCATGCTATTTCTACAGTCTTCCCCTATTTCCATCCTCATCTCAGTAAATCCTTCATAGGTGATTTGTTCCCTAATCAAACAACATGTCTCCTCCCCTGGCCCAGTGCCTTTTCCAGGGCTGGGTCTGGGGGTGTTTGTGCACTGAGAGGATGTGACCCTGTTTGGTGTGGATAGGAGCTGGCACAGAAATACACTGCTGGGTCTCCCAGGTTGATCTTTAAGACCCTGGGTCCCTCTTTGGGAAATTCAACAGAAAAGAATTTTGTTTGCATTCCTGAATTATCTATGACTTTTTCTTTCTGCAGGTACATCACGAATTTCAGACCCTCCTTCACGAGCTGCTGCTAACAGTAAACACGACTGTGTCCTGTCACCGGACTGCATCTCAGTGTTGCCTCCTGGCTTCTCCCCTGACTAGATGTCTTGGGTCCTGGATGATGCTGGCATTTGTGGGAACTCAGAAAAGGAAAGATTGCATGAGACAGAGTCCTGCTGGCAGAGGAAGTGAGTGCCTTAGAATGAAGCAACCAAAGGCAAGATAAAATGTTTTTGAAGTCTCCTGTGTTCATTTAAAAATTCACATAAATTTTGCTTTTCACTCCATAATGCAATTAGTTTCTTTCAGTTGAATGTCAATTTCTTTCACAGAACCTTTGGGCAACATGAAGGTCCAGGGCATGTTTGAGACATAGCTATAGAGCCATAGACAAAGACCAGCGATGTTGATCCACTATCCCAGAAGTCACCTGCCCCCAGGAGCCAGATGACCACCCAGCAGAGGAGTTGGTTGCCCAAGGCAGAGTTGGACATGAAGGGGAGCCTATATGCAGGGCCCAGGAAGGGTGCTGACTGCAGCAGCTCAGGGGGCTAGACTTCACTGCTGCCTCCCTTGAGGCAGGACTTCCTGTCTGGTCACTATTCTGGTGGATCCTGTTGCCTCTAGAACTGATCTTGTACATAAGTAGAATGAGACCTTTTTTTCTTGACTATACATACAACTTGGCTTAATACGTGTTAGTGTGGGGGATAGTGTTG